ATCAGAAGTATGGTTTCATGTTTTTAACACAGGTTGACAACGAAAGGGCAACTAAGGCGGTTCCTTAGAAGGGAGGATACGCAAATGGCAATTAAGGTGGTTCTCCTTTGTAAAATGTCCGCCTCTGATTAATTATATTATTTATTAGTTTATATTGTGCCAGCATAGCAGTAGAGTGTTCAGAATCCTTCACATAAATCACATAATATTCTGCCAGCAGAACATTACAGTCTTATAGTCTATTGTACTTAACCAGATTAGCTTCTAAAACAAGATACTGGTTTACTTCCATTGCTATGGGATACAACTTCCCCAGCTTACAAATAGGTATTTTGGTCATCTGTATCTAGGCAACAGAATCAAACAGTCCTGCTTGGACTTTACTGCTGCATGGCGCACCATCAAAGAGATCTACCATTTCATCTGGCACAACTGTGATTTTTAGGCAAACTGCTCCATTGCCTATGGCTGCATCGTTGTCACTGTTGGAAAAAATGTAAAGTGGAAAAACAGGGGAGGCAGGCCTATGACTTTGTCATATAGCATTTAAAGCAAACTATAATATTGTTCAGTTTTAAGTTTGTTTTGAAAGTTTACTGATAAACTCATCTGAAATATTGTATACAGTACCCGTAATTTTTATTATATTAATTGCATTTTGTTTGCACAAACATTTAATAAGAGGTGAATCTATGTTATTGTGGTTGCACACAAGAAAGCCTAGCACCTGCTCATTTTTGAATGCCTCATACCATTGGAGATTAAGAAAAGCGTGTCCCTTCTCTGACATGTTCATTTGATAACATTAGATGGAATTAAACTGACTAGAGCACAGTAGTAGGTGTGAAGCAAGCCAGAAGAATCCAGTAGAGGGTAAATTATACAACAATTCTGTGCCCTGCACCTCAGCACTGTAGTGCTATAAGTGATCTATAGATAATTATTTACGAGTGAAATTCCGGACTTTTTATAATGTTAATGGAATGTTGTTCCAGAAGACGGATGTTGAACTGTTCCTTAAGACAGAATCGGCATGGTTTGTCAAAGGTACAAAACATGTAGGATGAAAGCAAACCAAAACCTCATCCCAACCATGAAGCATGGTGATGGAAATAGAATAGTGGAGGGAGGGTTTGTTACTTAAAGGGATCTGAATGGCTTGTAATTACAGGAGGGACCAATTTGCAGATAAAGTAATCTCCGAAAACGTTACAGTGGAATTTGGGAGTGACTGTCTGTAATGTAAAATTCCAAAGAAATTAGGTCATGCAACATGACAATATTCCAAAACACCGGAATAAATCCATAACAGGTTAGCGCAAACAGAAGAAATTCCATATTTTAGAACAGCTTTTATACCCGACCAAAATCCCATTGGAATGCTGATGACTGATCTGAAGCAGACTGTTTAGGAAAGGCATCCCAAAATATACATGAACTCATGCGGTTATGAACAAAGGAATAGGCTACCATTTCAACCTAACCGCTGTAAAGGTTTAATCAGCTGCATACAACATTTGGTGGATGTTATGGAGAAATTAAAAGTCTACGATTACTTCCTACAGATAATTTCAGCCACTAACTAATGCAATTTTGTGCAATCCAGTTCCTTTTAATCAGCTTTCAACCAAAAATGTTCCCTAGTATCCAGCGACCAGATAATTAAAAATGCAGTAAAAATGATTACAAATAGCCTCAATGCCACTTGAAAAATATGTTTTTGATGGATTTCCACTCCAATTGCTATCATCTGGTCAGCCAAAACCACAAAACATTTGTGGCTAAAGTATAAATGGAAGCAAGATAATGGTCTTATTGCCACCAATATGCTCCGAGGCTTCAATGACACTGACTTTAAATGCAATTTGCTCACTAAAGATATCCCAATGCAAATTGCTGTTACTGTTTATTAAAGAGATTTTATCCACATAGCAAGTGGTTTGGTTGGACTTCAGCTTTAATGTTTCAGTAAGTGCCCTCTATGTATGGCCTGCTGTATGTCCTCGTAGTTAAAATACCTACTTCATTTGGACACATCAAAGAGCTGACTTCTAATCTCTACGGCCACATGGAAATCTCAAGGGCCACATTCATTACATTCTGCTTTATTTTAACAGCTATTATGTTCTCTTTATTGCCCTGCTTAAAATGCCCAAGCCTTCTGCCCTTGCTGTTTGTCATTCATCAAAATCAATGGTTATATATGATACCTTTATGGGAAAAAAAAAAAAGTCTAATTATTGGTTGCAATTGTCATCCATCAAATATCAATTATTCGCAAGCACCATGAAAATGGCAGTGTTGAGAACAGCAGCGACCATTAAAGATTCTTTTGTTGAAAAATGCCTGTCAAATGGTCTTTACATGTCAGGATCAGATGCTGGACATTCACCGCTGTCACCTGCTGTAATCTGTGACCTTCCTGTGCCACGTCAAGACGACTTGATTACATGAAATTCCAACACAGACAGAAATAGTAGAACGCACATCAACATTCTGACCACCGTGAAGAAATATACAGTTGTGGTGATCACTTGAGTACAAACTAATATGGGAGGTAGACCATTGGAAATGTTTACATTTGAGAAAATGTAATCAATGCAAAAACTCTGTAATGTAACATGATATGAAAAAAATGGAAATAAGACGACAGACACAAGGAAAGAAAAGAGCCAAAAAGAGAAAATATAAAAATGAAGAAAAGACGAAAGGGATGAGGGATGAAAATTAGGAATGGTAGAAGGAAAGGAAACAAATGAAAGAAGGGAGGGAAGAGGAAAGGTAAGAAAAATGGAAGAGAAAATTAGGGGATGTACAAAGAGGAAAGGGAAGGAGAATAAAAAAGAAGCTATGGAAGGAGGATGGGAAAAAAGAAGACAAAGGACTGGAGAAGGAAAGAAAGGGAAAAGATGGAAAGGGGAGGAAAATATGATAGAAAGAAGAAAGGGAAGAAGCATAATAAGAAAGGTTGGGGAGAGAAGGAAAGCACTGCAGAAGGGAGGAGGGGGGATATGCAAGAAAGAGGGAATTGAAAGACGGAGGATGAAATTAAGGGATGATGGGAAGAAGAATGAAAAGAAGCTAGGGAAGGAGGATGGAGAAAAAAGGAAGCCAAAGAACTGGGGAAGGAAGTAAAGGAAAAGAATGGAAGGGGAGGAAATGACAATAGACAGAAGAAAGGGAAACAGAATGATAAGAAAGGTTGGAGAGAGGAGGAAAGGGCTGCAGAGGTGGGGAGAAGAGGAAAGGAAAGAATTGGAGGGCAAAGGAGATACGGTATGCAGAGAGAAATAAAAGAAAGTGAAACAAATGAAAGAGAAAGGGAAAAGAAATATAAGAGAAAAAAAACAGACGTAAGAATAGGAAAGTCAAAGAAAACCAAAGAAAAAAAAATGACATTCTGAACACAATTAGTAAAGGAACAAAGCTTACAGTGTGGGGATCTATTGAATGTTATTCTGTAACACTAACACTGCAAACCAGTTACAACTACAGCAAGTTGGTTGTGTGACCTTAGGAGAATGAAGGCCTGCACCACGGAACATAAATTAAAATGAGATTAGAGCCAAGTGCAGCCACTGTATAATTACCAAGAGGGGAGTACTACTCTATCCAGATAGCAAGGGAAAAAAAAAGGGGGGGGATGCGTGCAAACCACTGACACATCAACAGCTTGTGGTGAAAACATACATGATCCTAAAAGACTGCTGGTAAAGTATGAAGGCAGACCAGAGGCAGATGTATTCATCTCTCTGAAGCAGAGGAAACATCATTCCCAGGGCCTGTGTGCTCACATATAAAGTGAATTTATCACATGTCGGAAATGAGCTATCTCCTGCAAGCCATGTTCAAGGCATTATAAATAAATGGTGTAAATACATTTTTTCAACACCTGGGACAGAAGCAATGCAGCATGTACTGTAAAATGAAAACACTCACATGGAAACAGACAGTATAGACATGATACGCAGATTTTAATGCCAGTCATGAGGCTGTCATATAAAATCATTACATTTATCGCACAACATCTGTCAGAGCAGTAACCTAAGATCAAGGGCATATTTCTTTCCTTTGGATGCAAGGCGTGACTTGCAAACATTGTCAGGGTTTAATACTTCAGCGGCATTGAGCCAAGTGTTCTATGTGCTGCGCGAACGTGAAAGCGTCATGAGTCATGCATCATTTCACTGTTCTGAATCCCGGACTAGTTCATGCACTGCTCCAAGGATTTGAAAGGACACAATGCATTACATAGCTAAATATTTTCACTACAAATAACGCCCACCGAGTCTATTCAAGTAGGAAAAAAAAATATATTTTTTAAATATTAATAATTTCAAAGCTGTGGTACTTCTCTTACCACAAATAAATTCAGTGGGTGTTTCATATAGTAACTATTTTTGCTCCTGTGTAATACTGTGGCAAATGGCAAGAGAATCTTTACTCTGTAATTTAAAAAAAAAAAAAAACTATTTAAACAAAACAGTAGGTGGGGAGGTCTTAAGGAATTCCTCATAAGATAAATCATTCACTCTCTTTACATTCAAAATATTTTTGACCGTGTGGACGTAGAAAAAACAAAATCATACAAAAATAAAAGAAAAATTATCTAGGTATGTACCTATTTTATGCTCAGTCTCACTATATCTTTATTTGTATATATCAAATTGGATTATTATTTTTACATTATCTTATATGAAAAACAAAATCTTTGTATCGTCATCCTTTATTTGCGTTATCTGATCCCACTACCTCATTTACAAAACAACTCTAAATCATCCTTGACCTGTATTTTAACCTGATATCTCTATTTTCAGGTATGTTGACTAAGACTTGTTAGAATACCAGTTTGCAGCACAAACTGAAAATTGCACTTACGTGGTGGGGGAAAGAAAATGTCAAAAGAAACAGAAATATAGATCAAACAAAAATCACAAACAGTACATAATTCATTGTTATCAACATTATGGGGATAGAAGAAGGAAAATTCAAGTTCTTACCTTGGGCTAAGTCCTGAAGAGTGAACTCTAGAGAGTATCGTAGAATGAAGTTGTTATTCCACACATACAGCTGGTTATCCCTAGGGTTGTAATCCACTGCGGCGATGTATTGATACTGATTGGGGAAAGGAATATCAACAGATTCTCCGCGGTTCAGCTTGGTGTTGAAGATGTAGTCAATTGCATTCTTTCCCGTTTCGCTTTCATTGTCTTGGTAGACTGACCGCACCACGTAGAGTACACCGCAAATCATAAAGGCGTTCGAGGCTGCCCGCTTGTCATAGGAAGTTTCGAAGGTGGCCTCAAATCGGAGAGTGTAAGGATTTAACTGGCTGATCACTATCATTCCATTGTTCTGTTCCGTCGCGTAGATCACCCACAGCCCGTTCTCGTCGACGGCCAAGTCGATATCAGTTTTTCCACCCCATCGATAAGGGGATGTGTCATGGTAATTGGCATAATTGATTATGGCCTCCCCACTCTTAATTCTAGTCCTCAAGTCAAACTTAACAATGTTTCTTGTCCTCTCCTTATTAAAAAACACAGCCCCATCATAAACCACAAATCCTGTGCCATCCACTCGGTTGGGAAGTTTATAGGTTGTAGTCTGTCGGAAATTCTGAAAATCTTGCAAAGAGGCGAATTCCATTAAAGTATCCGTACGGTACGGAGTCCAGGGCATAAAATAAATTTTATCTGCGGCTTGGAGGGGGTCTTTGCACCATGCACCCGCCTTCTGCTCTGCTTCATAAATATATGGAGAGTCCACCACTGTTTTCAACACCCCAGGGCAAACAAAAACTAGTAGAAAGTAGAAAGAGGATTATTAGTTTACAAAAGACATACTAAACGTTTAATGTCTCCCTCTTAACCACTTCCAGCAGCTACATTTTAAAGTAAAAAACAAAAAAAACAAAACAAAAACCTTAATTCTTAAAATTGAGAATGTGTACATTGACAGAGCCAAACTAAATATCTACTTCACTTACAACACAGCAGATTTAAGACAGCAATTTTCTGCACATTAAAATTATAAGTTGTCTAAGCCGAAAACCTGTTGGGCAATGAAAAACCACACACGGTTCTCGTGATGTTAGAAAGTGTGAATGGTTTTTCATTTGTGCGTTTACAAACATACATGGGCATTGAATCACATTTGGGAAAGGAAACATAAAGCTGGAACATCTCCGAGAAAAAACACAACATTTTTACAGCAATCGGGAGCTGGAAAAACAATAAAACAAAAAGGAAAAAAATAACTAACTAAATAACACAACTTGAACAATGGATGAAACAAAGCAGGGAGGCCTGAAAATGTGGCATGCTAAGGGAAAAGGAGTTAGGAAGCCAGGCAAAGTAAAAATAAATATAAATAAATATGAAAATTAAAAAAATACATTTTTGAGAAAACAAAAAAGTAAAACAATTAGGGGTTAAGGAAGAGAGCAAGAAAACATTTCCCACAATAAATGCATATACTGTGTCCCACCTATGTGACATATATATATCACAACATTTGTTTTATTTGTTTTTTATTTTTTTAAATTAGTCAACTTGTGTATGAGGTGTAGAAATGCAATCCTGCTGAATATAGAACTTCAGTGTTTAGGGATAAGGGGGGATCGAGAAGGTTAACATCCATATGGCACATAACAGGGAGCTGAAGGGGGTGGGATCGGGCTGTGTTATTTATTTACCTTTTTGCTCCACTTCTATTTTAAGCATTGGAAGAGAAAGTGAAAAGGGGTGCAAGGAGAAAAAAGAGAGATTAACATGAATGGACCATTTACTCGGTAGTGCAATCAGTACACACACACACACTAAAAGAAATCCGCCATATTGGATAAATGACGAGACTGGAACACCTAGTGAAAAAAAGAGCTGTTATACAATCAACGGTGAACCATATGAGTGGATACCCGACAACCTTCTAGTATGACAAGGGTGAGGAGGGCATGCATTAAAAACCAGATAATAAAACAGACTGGTCTCTAAACATAACTAATTTAATGTTCTGCTAAATGTAGAACTGTTAACTTCCCTGAGGCACAAAATGGCTGCCACAGAAGGAACCTCAGTCAGCTCAATAAATCCAAGTGGGGCTGGCTAACTGCATTGGTAAAATGAGTAAGTTCCAAGAGGCACAAAATGGCCACCCACAGGGAGTTCCATTATAAAGTCACCAAATCCAAGAGGACTAACGTTGGCTATGTCTACAAAATGGCTGCTTTTTCTTTTGGATGATGTTTTCCAAAACATATGAACACCAAACTCAAGTATGCTTACATACAAATCTAATACTGTAAATACTGCCATAGTAGCCAACCACATTTGCTTTCATTTAAAATCCTGCACAAGGAAAACAGTAAAATATGGTTAGTTACCAAGGACTCTCTTGCTTCCTCAGTTTTTAATCTAAAGCCCACTACTGTAAGGGAAATCCAAAGCCATGGGCCCTGGGGTCTTGGAAACAGATTTATAGGAGTTACAGATAATGTCCAAGGCTGGATAGTGTTGATACAGAAGACATGTGAAAAGCCTTCGGAGGACAACCCCAGGAAATAAAATTACCGGTAATACACAAAATGAAGATAGACATAGACATAGATGAGCAGAAGTCATTCCAAGATGTTCTTCATTTGTAGCATCGGGACATTTGGGGTTAACTGTGCAGTCCTAACAAATGATTGGGTAGGGCATGTTGCACATAGATTTTCCAACCTCTGAAGCTCTTGTTATCCCCTCCAAGAGGGTGTCCCTAAAAAGGTCCACTACCTTCCTGAATCTTGAAATTAAAGTCAGATGAAAGTGCATAACTACTGATGAACTACAGTACTTTCTCTCTCTCCCTTTCTCTCTAGGGATGCACCGATAGTAGTATCGATGCCGATTATACCGAGTATTTGGCTTCCTGATAGTAGGCAGCATGGCTTCCTGACCAAACAAGTGAAGCCTGCTTCCTAGCCAATCAGGAAGCTGGGAGGCGGGTCATGATGTGCCGTCCCCGGCTTCCCAATTGGTTAGGAAGAAAGCTTCACTTGTTGCTAGACAGCCTGGTTTCCTGAGAAAATCAGGAGGCCAATGGCACCTCATGACATGCCGCCCTCCTGGCTCCCCGATTGGTCAGGAAGCCAGGAAGCCTCTGAAGCTGGTGTTCTTTTGCTAGAACACTGGCTTCACAAGCAACGGGTCATGATTTGCTGCCCGACTTCCTGATATTGGGGGCACAATGCACTGGTACTCAGCATCGTCGAGTACCGAAAAAAAATAAGCGGTGCCCGTACTCGATACCAAAAAAACGGCATCAGTGCATCCCAAATCCCTCTCTTTCTTTCTCTGTCTATCTCTCAGTAATTCTCTATTGCATGATCCAATACGAACATTGCTGCCTCTGCTGACCCTTGCCAGAATCAGTAGCCATGATATGCAAGGTTGCTGCCGCTCTTGAATGTAAAGTGCAGCTCTAGCATTGTGACAAAATTGACACTGTATGGCGAGACATAATGATATATATATATATATATATATATACTTTACCTTATTATTTCTGTTTTGTAAAGCCTTCAAAACCCTGTTCCCTAATGTAAATATTTCTGATTTTTTTAAAATGTTATGGGAATTGGTCAAAAGGTAAAAAGGGATTCCTGGTGGACCCAATCAGTGATTTACCAACCTGCTACTGCTGTGCTAAAATCAGAAAGTTCAGACCTCACATGATCATGAGCTTGTACCTTCTGTACTCCTAAAAGCTGTGCTCTGCAACCTCCTCACCAATCTGATTTGAACTTCTAAAGCAGGTCTGACTTTGATGGCGTCTGTTCTGATCATTTTTACCTCACATTCTCTGCATGGGAGATGGAATGCGGAGGGTGTTCAAGCATCACCAGTAGGTGTGTGGCAAGATCACCAGATTACAGACAAAAGAGAGAGGACAGGTGCACTACAGTTATACCTTGATGAACATCTTAAAGTGGACCCATCATCAGATATATTATGTAGAGCACAGCATGCTCAGTAATGTGTCACTGTTCTACCTCTAAGTATTTACTACCTCTCACAGATATCACTATGTTTCCCTGGCAATGTCTTTGTATGCTTTTCTCTTCCAGACAGTGACATCTTTGTTTAGCCATTATTCAGGTTCACCATGTACTCCATGGATTGAGATGATGGTTTAGACATGACACAACCAGGTAAATCCAAGTGCCTGTGGTCACAAACGTCTGCCATAGATCAGCCACTCTTATCACATCATGTGACTGGCTACAAAAGTTGCAGCAGATCACTAGGGGGGAGAATGAAGAAATGTTTCCCCCTGTCTGTAGCAGACTGAATACAATATTTCAGCCTAGGCAAAGTCACTGACTGAGGGGCAGCTCTATGATAAAAAAGTGGGACTTTTCTGAGGAATGATCTAGTTGTATCATGTGACCGGATTCCACTGGGGTAGTTAATTGAAGCTTGTACCGTATCACTGGTGTCCCACCCAAGGTCCACCCCACCTGACACATCTCACCCAATCACAGGCTTTGTTGTAGAGATGTCTTGTATGTATGCCAAGGCTTAATTGGGACTATAGAGTATATTGAACTATGGAATGTACACAGAGATGCAGCATTACAGATTTTTTTTACTATTCAAAAATAAAAAAATGTTTTTGAGCAAGCACAGTGGAAATCTCAGCTGTAATACAATAAAACAGGTAATGGATATTACTTATGAAGTTGATGATTTTGCTCCTCTGCCTATGAATATCAGTGAAGCCAGAACTAGTTTGTAAAGCTTGAATTACCCTTAAAGAGGAGAGGCAGCTGGGTCTTTCATAGCACTTACACCGACACAAAAAAAAAAGGAGGATGAGTCCTTGAACAGTACAGATATATTTAGGTTTATTTATTTTAATGAATGTATTTTCTAGTAATATGCAAACTTACTGCTGTGTAAGCAACTTGTATTGCTTATTAATTTAATCTGAAGAATGCACCCAATTTATTTAAACTAGAAAGACACTTGAAGTCACTTTGTGTAAAAAGTTTAGATATATAGATCTAGATCTATATAGAGATAGATCTAGATCTATGTAGATCCAGATCTATATATACACTGGACAGAGAAATGGCAGCTAGAGCAGCTTTTCAATGAAGTCTGAAGTGATAATAGGAGGCACGCAGAAGCTAATAACAGGCGTCTTCTGACGTTTTCTTTTAGGCAGGGCCTTAGAAGACAGGTTCACTTTAAACTCCATTAGATAACAATGATCTACAATGCAGTCAATGTGTCCTTGGCTGACATCGTGCTGAACAAAACCGGTTGACGTTGGAAGTGTGAAAGAAAATGTTAGCTGATCAAATTTAAGAAAAAAATACATTGTATTCCAAACTAACTCCCACTGGCAGCAGAGTTTTGACTTAAAAAAATGTAAATGCATATTCCCCGTCACAATATTGTTCGTATGAAACGAATGCTAGCGTTAACCCATTCAAAATATTATGATAAGGGTTGTGTGCGGGTGAGATTGATTGAAAGGCTTGCAGCCTTGCCCCTTGCAAGATTCTCAGTTAAGGATTTCGAGATAAAAATGGCTGTTCAGGCGTCTTCTAAAGAAACAGGGGAAGCGGCTTTTGGCTGACAGCAGTAAGGAGGAGAATTTGGAGGAAAGACAGAAGCACCCAGCAGAAATGGCCTACATTGTGTGTGTGTGCAGACAAGGGGACACTTCTTGTTCTCATTATCCTGACATTGTGATGTGCGGCCCGCAGAAGGCTTACTCAGCGGAATCCAAAGGCAGACGTGTTAGTTTTTAAAAGTTTAAAGTGAACCTGCACTTTGACAGAGGAGCAACAAGTTCAGTAGATTGAAGCCAGAGAGCCAGAGAGTAATATACTGCAGCATATAAGTCCCTAGATGTGGCTGCTGTACCCGCCCCCCCCCCCCCTTTTATTTTAAACTGGTGATGCTGCCAGTAACACACCTACAGTCTTTGGATGGCAACACTTAGGTCCAATGCAGACCTGAGCAAATCTGGGCCACACATACCCATTTATTTCAATTGGGTAGATCCGCGTGGCAATCGCAGAAAAAAAGGTAAATGTACCTCTTTTTTTCTAAGAGGGCGAAGTGTCCATCAGTGTGGAAAATGGCTGCTAACATAGTGAGTTCCACTCTTGGTCAGCCACAGAAGGATAAAGACCCCTATACACCACCACCACCAATAATAATATTAAATCAACATTAACAGATAAAGCACATAGGTGCCTAAAACCTATCTATCTCTTATTTTTCCATGTGAAGGAGAAGGCAATGTTGGAGAAAAGGAAAATGCATTAAATGCCAGAACAATTCAAAGACATATCCTTATTTGCCAACCTCTCTCAGAATTATTCAGACCAGGAAAAAAAATTCTTCCAATAACTGCAGCGGGAAACCGCACCATCCGCCCGGCATGACTGGTGTGCCATTAGAAAAAAATGGCACCCACATCGCGATCGTGGGTGACGGGGACTCCGTGACAGTGCGGCATTGTGCATGATTGCCGCGCGGTCACAGATCGCCCAGGTGTGCACCGGGTTAGGTTCACACCTAGGCGATTTATCGTGCAGAATTAGCCGTATGATATCACACAGAACAGAGATTTGCATTCAAGTCTATAGAATCAGATTTTTGAATGGTTTTCATTAACTGTTACATCTCAGCACTGCTGATCTCCAGCCTC